TTTTGTTTTTTTTTTTTTTTTTTTTTTTTCTTTTGGGATATAACAAAATAAAGACAGCCTTTCAGAAGTATGGCTACAGGCAGAGGAAGAACAGACGTGTCCGGGGGAGAAATGCTGCCATCCAGTGGGAGCTACCAGAATAGGAAGGGTTTGGAAATCCCAGTTTCAGAAGCTCATCTCCAGAGGTGGATTCTGGGGATTTCCGCCGCCAGAAAACAGGCCCCTAAAAGCTTGGTTTACAAGTGCAGCAGCTCTTCCTCCTTTATATGGAAGAGGAATGGCCTGGAGTGGGCCTTAGCTAACTGAGCTTTGATCTTGTGCCCTTGGACGCATCCCGTGCCTCAGTTTCCCCATGTGTAGAACAGAAGGGTTGCTATTGATGGTCTTTATAAAGCCCATTTGAGATACACTCATGAAAAGTGCCATAGTGATCTAGGTGGTATTGTTATTGTTGTTGTTCATGGCAGAACCAGCGTGATCTGAAGTCAGAGGGAGCCCTGCACAGAAGCTAAAATCGGGTTTATGGCCCAAATCCTGTTTGAAGAATGCCCCAAGCCCGAGTTTAATCCCTGTTCTAGTCTGTGTGGTGTCTGTGGGGCTCTGTGCAGAGGAGCTGGCGCTGACAAACAGCGTGGCGGGGGTTGGTGTCTTGGTGCCAGCCCTGTGGCACTGCTGGTGGCAGAGCAGCCCCCGGCTCTGTGGTGCAGGTTTGAAGGTCCGTCCATTCCCACCTCCCTTCAGCCTCCATGCTCAGGAGTGGGGTGAGGACTGGGATGAACAGGCCATTCAGCCTTCCAGTATCACCAACTGCCACACATGTGAGGATCTTTTTATGTTCTTAACAACTGCAAGTTTACCTCTGTAATACTTTCACACAAATTGAGGTTCTTTTCCACTTTATTTTTGGTGCACAGGGAAATAGACCAGGACTCCCTATCTGCCACGTAGAAGAATAAACAGGGTAAGATTTGAGTATTTCCCTGCTGTCGATGAAAACTGCTGAAGTTCTCTTTTCTGCTGGTTTTCAAGAAATTTTCACACCAAGACAGACGCACACTTCTTCCGTTTATGTCTACTAATTTAAATAACTAGCAACTAGCACTGTTTTAGTGAAGAATAACAGGTTTTGACAGAGTTCTGTAAAGCAGCTAGCAAAGGTTTAGTTTACTCAGCTAAGTGATGTGAATTTTGCAAAGCTGCATCATACCTGCTCAGAAAACAACTCAGGATCTAAAAATAAGGTTAGATGTTTCAGTATGAAGCTACCGCTCCTTCCGAAATCACTGGAGAAGGATAGGTACACCTGGGAACATAAGAGGCATTTCTTTTGCTTATCTTCAGACAGGATAGACTGCTTCCTCAGGGTGTCCATCTCTGTCCTCACTTAGAAACAGAACGGAACATAATCAGACACACACTTAACTTCTGTGTTTCAATTAGGGCAGTTAAAGCTCATCTGGGAAATCCTCACCAAGGGGAGCTTCAGTCTGAATGAGCCTACCCATGATCCTGTACTTCAAAGCCAATTATATTTCTTCTGAAATTCATAAAACAGATTAAACAATTTAGTATTTCAGCTACAAAGGCAAATGCAGTCACTGAAAGCCATCATTAACCTGCAAGTACCAGTAATTATGTTACGGTTGAACTCGATGACCTTAAAGGTCTTTTCCAGCTTAAGTGATTCTATGCTTCTATTTCTGAAGCTTAAAACGGCACCACCTAGAAACCTGAATTTTAGTGACAATAAGAGTGGGTTTGGGATGTGAAGGCTTTGAGGAGCAGGGAAGTGAACAAAAGTCTAATTCCATTCACCTGAACCAGAGGTACACAGTACCAGAATGCCTAGAACTGGATACAGCGGTGGTAGATGGATGCAGTTATTTATAGAACTTTACTTCACACACTACCACGATGTAACACACCTGCCCATTTCAGGTATCTGACCATGAATAGGGTCCAGGTATGTCCACAGTCCAGCTTAGAGTACCCCCTTAACCTCACGCAGCCTGGAGAACCTGCAAGTTCATGGCAGCCCCCAGGCAGTGAGTGACATCCAGCACTTTTCCTTCTTTTGGAAAGCTGTGTATGCAAACTTTTTTTTAGTTATTTATACATTCAGCCCCCCCCCCCCTCCCCATTCAAAAACACAAAATAAACCCCAGGGATAGATGAACTACAAATGAGAAAGAGGAAAATATGAAACTGCACATCCTAGAGCACAGGCTCAGAGTGGCCAGCATAGCCAAGGAGAGCATCCAGTTGTTTACCTATGGATTAATCAAACTTGCTTTCCTGTCCTCCAAGACGAGGTAGGTGCTGGGGATGGGGCAGCGCGGGGCCCGGGCGCCCTCCTTGCGAGGGGACGGGGGGTGGGGGTACCCTCCTGGCTACGCGGGGGTCGGGTGCTGGGAGGGGACCCTCCTGGATGC